TAGTTGTAGTTTAAAACATGTGCAGTCCCTGGATCTGTTTGGTGTCACAGCATTAATTCAGCACCTGTGCACAAATAAAATACTGACTAGATTAAAAGAAGTCAAAGTGTTCTCACACACAGGAACATGGAGAACACTGGCTCTTGTTTCACTCACAGCTCGCTCACAAATTCAGACACTGAGCAGCATGAGACGTGTCTGACAGACATGTCTGACAGAACCAGGACATATTTGGAGCAGTCATACTGTATGATTTTGGGTGATTTGGCACACTCAGCACTTCTGATCCTGTTTGTGGCGCCACCTGCTGGTTACGTTCTGTAATGTTCAGAACAAAACCTTCCAAAAACGAGGATCAGTTACTTTTTAATCCATATTCTTTATGATCTTAGGAGAACATGAACTGAAGTATTTTGTAAATTAAATCAGATTCTTAAACAGGCTGTTATTYAAACAATAATYAAACTGTCAAATTTCCAATGCCCCTTTCAACTTGTAATTTATTTAAATTAATTATGAACATTTGTTTAACCTCAAAAGTACAGTTTTTAAATTAAATGTTGCTGAAACAGCAAGTTTCTCAGTGGATCTGCGCTAAAAAAAATGCAGCCTAGGTGGAGTAGTCGAACACAGATCCACTGATCCTTCATCACAGAGCATCTTCACAAGACAAGTTGATAAAGTAAATTTTAAAAATCTGTATTGTTCCATACAAGTGTGTATTGAACCTAAATCACTGTTTGATACGGTTCAATACTGAGGTTCGATACATCATAAGTGTTTAAGATGGAAATGGTGAGTTGATTACATGCTCCAGTGCTCACACTATTGTAGTGTCCAAGAGTGGGGGGCCTCTTCTCAGGAATGCACAGATGTGTTATGCCTCTCTTAGTTTCCAGCTTCAGAGCTCGGCACATATCACCATATTAGGAAGAAGGTATACCGTGACAAAATTTATGGTYCATKTGTGAAGCCTATAAAGAGCCTTGTACGCCCCCACCCTTAGCCTTCGTTCCCCATCTTTCTTACTTGGTGAATCATTTGGCATTGAAGGCCACAATTTGGTGTTTGGCTGTAATCTCCTGGACAGCAAAATAAAGATTCTTGCTGTTCAACCAGCCTGTTTCAGAGTTTCTCTCTTCACTGAGCAGCAGCAGTTCCACTTCAACCAGAAGACGTGGTTTTTTTCACCTCACTATAATGAAGAATCACACAGAAAACTGCAAAAGGTGTAAGAAAAAAAAATCTTTATCCAAGTAAAGCAGATTCGTTGTCTGTGTGGTTACTGAGGATATTCTCACCACCTTGTGCCCAGCAGGAGTAAARCAGCTTTAAATTTAAATAATCTCTGCCTTCATTAATTTAAATGGGTCACGTTGGATGTAAATAATTATTGTTTCTTTTGATGGCTTCTTATAGGTTCTGATTTAGGACCAAATTCAGTCAGACACTTCATTTTCTTTACTGACATTATCAGATTTTAATCATTATTTCAATCCTTTATGACAAATTCTTTATTTTGTATTAAATTTAGTTCAAACTGTTAAGACTTGTTTTAAACAAAACTGTCTGAAAACTCTCAACATTCAAGACCCTGTTCTTTTTATAGATTGAATAAAACAAAGCATTTTGTTTTTAAAATTTAATTAGCAGCATTTAAGACACAAGAAGCACAATTAACACATTAGAAACAGTAAAATGCACTTTTTAAAAATCAACACAACAATCACTTTTTTCTTTTTACCTTTTAAACCCTGAGCATCARTGACTGATGATAGGACGGAAGCTTTGATCATTTTAAAGCACCTCATTACTTCAGACTGTATCTGTGATGACACAACATACAGTTTGTGTTTGATTAAACYTAAKATTTCATTAACTTAAACAAYACRATAAAACCCGGGCTGAGCCCAAACTTTGCCTAAATCATCTTAAAACCACACAAAGATTATCTTCAGATTCTGCTGTGGAAAACGTTCTGTCCTGTCCTCACAGTTCTGTTAAACCAGCAGCTGCTTCCAGCTGTGGAGCTGCAGCTGGAGCTGAGCTCATCCTTCCACAGGTCCAACATCTGGATCAGGACTCAGGTCTGCAGGCATCATGAAGGTCAGCAGCTGGTAGGTCAGTCCGAGTCACTGTGGAAACCATCAGAGAAAATAATTAGCTGAAAACAGGAGTTATCTTTAATTAGAAAAATATTCCTTTCTTTCTTTTTTTAAATTATCCAGAACTTTCAATGGAAGATTTATTCAAGTATTTTTATGTAAACACATTATGACACACTAATAAATGAATATTTTACCTATTTTTTCCAGCCCATGCTTAAGAAGGCAGGAGCTCCCTGGTCGTATTTGGACCTGGCAAACCGACGTCTTCTTTTATTTGGAGGACACACCTGAAAGACAAAAAATAATTCAAGTTCAAAATCTGAACAATTCTAATTCTGAAAGAACTCATAGTGAAAATATTCTATTTAAAGATTTAATTGTTAAAAAAATGACACAGTAGTGTTTTTTCAATATAACCAGTATATTAATAACATAATCAGATTACAGTATTACTGTATAAATTATATTAATCTTTTTTATGGTTTGTACATGTTTTGCAATCTAAACACAGTTATCCAGCGCACTCAGAAAGTATTTCACTTGTGTTTGTTTCTAAACTTTTTACATTTTTAAAAATTTACTTTAATATTTTTTACAAATATTTCCCCTTAGAAATTCATTGAAATCTCTTCAGTTCTTCAGTAAAACATTGTTCATTCTTCAGCATAGTTTGTCTATTTTTGTCCTATATTACTTTGTGTTTAGTTAGCCTGTTGCTAATTTAAGCTTTTAACTTCCCAATGACAAACTTAGCTGTGAGTTAGTTTTTTGAAAATCCTTTTCTACTTTTAGCATTTAATTCAATTCAATTCAGTTTATTTTTATAGCACCAAGTCACAACATATGTCATCTCAGGACTCTGTGCAGAAAAAGAAAGAAAGAAGAAAAAACAATCTAAAGGAGCAGCAGGTTGTGTTGAATCGTTTCATCACAGTCTCCATCCTGAGCAGCACGTTGGTGACAGTGGGAAGGAAAAACTCCCTTTTAACAGGAAGAAACCTCCAGCAGAACCAGAACCAGGCTCAGGACAGGTGTCCATCTGCCTCGACCGGCTGGGTTTGAGAGGACAGGAAAGAGACACATATAGATATAAACAACCATTTGCTGATATTGCCAGCCTTTTGCAAATTTAAGCTGTAGTTAACCTTTAGCTGCATTTAGCTAGCTTTGTGTTTGTCTTCTTGTGGTTTTTGGTTCCTTGCAGATTTTAGCTAACATGTTTTGTTCTTTTAAATTTACAAATTGGTCTCAGTTTCTTGTGGGAAATTTCAAAAATCCAGAAGAGGAAAATTACATTTCTCTTGTTTTAAATGCTGTCAGGCGTACCGGGACACAMTTGTTCTTCGTGAGACACAGCTGCAGCTGGCAGTGCAGGTAGACATTATTTCGCTGACCGCGGAACTCAAACATGTTGAAGGAGAAGCGGTTGGAAGTTCCTACTCCGTTTCCCGTCACATGCACCGTGTCATCACGAGGGTTGGCACAGCTGAGGAGAAGGAGAGCAGTTTATTTAACCCAGGGGTGGGCAATCCTGGTCCTGGAGGGCCGCAGCCCTGCATGTTTTACTTGTTCCTCTGCTCCAACACACCTGAAATGAATGAATGGATGATTTTCAGGTTTCTGCAGTACGGAGGACCGAAACTGACATAATTAGAAATAAAATCAGAATTTTATGAACCACTAAATAAATACGTTTAAAATGCACCAATTAAATTAAAAAAGGAGAAATTTATCTCCTGCTTCACATTTTAATTGACTTTCATATTTATTTTTCCAGGTTATTTCCAATAAATTAGTCTATATACTGAAACATAATTAAAATTTTACTGTTTTTTATAAATATAGATTAATTATTTTTCCTTTTACTTGTACATGCATTTGTGTATCTTAAATGTTTATACTTAATTTATATTTTTTCCAACAAGTCTTTTTATTACTATGTGTTGCATACCTGTGCTGCCTCAGTTTAGCTAAAAGTTTAAAGTTTAGTTTAAAACAAAGGCAAGGAGGAAAGCGTTACCTGTGCATTTATTTTTAACTAAACTTTAAGCTAAACTGTGGCAGCACAAGCATGCAACACATATAAATAAAGACTTGTTGGACAAAATTATAAAAAATAATTCAGTTTAAGCATTCAAGAGACACAAACGCATGTACAAGTAAAAACTATGTAAAATATATATTTAAAAAAATTTAAATGATGTGTTAAAATATATAATTTATTGGAACTAAGCTGGAAAAATAAATATGAAGGTCAATTAAATTATAAAACATGAGGTAAAGTTCTCATTTTTTATTTATTTGGTGCATTTTAAATGTTTTTACTTACTTAAAGGTTCATTTATCTACTTCTGCTTTTGTTTCTAATTATATCAGTGTTGGTCCTCCATACTGCAGAACTTGGAAGGGGTAGTTTAGAGACTGAATCAGGTGTGTTGGAGCAGAATTTAAATGTAAAATATGTAGGGCTGCAGCCCTCGAGGACCAGGATTGCCCACCCCTGATTTAACCAGAAGTAACATCACCAGACAGCTCGTTCACAACAGGAATTCTGGAAAAAAGTTTTTATTYGCCACATGTTTGAGCATCTCTCACCCGTCTATGACCAGGTCGTATCTCGGCGAGCTGTCAGGGTTCGGGTCACTGGTTGCCCAGCAGGACTCAGTTACCATGGTGATGCGCTCTGCATCCAGCCCGTAGGTCTTCAGCTCCACCCAGACCTTCTGGTTGAGCCTCACATCAGTTTCTTTAGCCACAACTCTAGAGCATTTTTCATCTATATAGGGCGTCATGGACACCGTGTAGTTCCACTCTCCAGTTGTTGCAGGTCCTATGTAGCTTTAGAGCAAAAACACAAACACAACTTAGCTTCTGTAACTCACAAACCAGCCGACAGCAAGTTCTGCATCATGATTAATACAGAAACCACCAGTCAGTACCTGTTGTCCTGGACTCTGAAGGCCACGCTCTTCATTTCAGGTTGAGGACGATAGCAGGAGAACTCGATGTACACTTGGTTCTGGCGAACGATGATATCGGTGCTGTTCTGGTTTATGATGGCGTTGGTGTAGTTGATATCGTTTTTACTAAACTGTAAGATCACACAATCATATTTTGGCACTAAGAAATGGTTCTGCTTGTTCAATTAGAAGTAGTGATGAACCAATCTGATATCAATATCGGATATCGGTCTGATATAAGTAAAAAACTGAGCACCTAACACATTCTCACTCCCGACTCGTCACATACTGATGCTTTTCCAAGGTTCCCTCTGCATCTTATTTTGATGCGTTGGGTACACCCGTCACATCAGTTTTTGATGCACCAGGCATTTCCGCGGCGTCCAGGTTTGACGCATTGGGAAGCAAAATATAGGGGTCTTTGACTTGGGGTCTGAGGTTAATATTAGGAATCAGGGTTGATGGTTAATTTTAGGTAGTGGGGTCAGGGATAGGATGTCTAGGGTGAATATTATGTAATTTTAGGCTTTGGAACATGTGGTTAACATGAATTTACTACAATTTAAAAAAATGGTTAGTTTTAGGTACTAGGGTCAGGGACAGCATTGTCTAGAGTAAAGAAATGTAATTTTAGGCTTTGG